CAGTGGCAGCGGCAGGAGGGGCCGGGCTCGGGGTTTGTGGCCCACGTCCCTGACTAAAGCCAGCCAGCGGGTCCTGTTATCAGTTCCCGTGACACAGTTCCTGGTTCCCCAACTGTTTTATTATTGTTATTCTTAAAAATAAAGGGGGTGTTGATCGGGAATGAGGGAAGGGAGAGGGGGCGACGAGGCGTGTGCCAGCTCACCGCTCAGGAAGCCGCCCTCGGCCGGGCCAGGGCCTCTGCAGAGACACATGGTGTTTATCGGGGCGGCAAAGGGAAACCCGGGCAGTTCCGTGACGTGAGTGCCTGTTTCCCACCTCCAAATTCCGTTAGGAAAGTGACCGTGGCGACAGGCTCCCTGGTGACACTCCGCTATCTGCGTGCCCCTCGGGCGCTGCAGGACGGGTGTGCGCAGCTCGCTCACGATGGTCTGCGCTCATTTCCTCTTCAGCTGCCAAAACTCGCAGGCTGACAGCGGCCGAGGGCCAGGAAACAGGAGGAAGGGCCCCTCCGAGGGGCTCCGGCCGCCCGGCGGCAGCTTCTCGTCTGGCTCGATGGCGAGGCTGGGGGCGGACACGGAGCATGGCCTTCACGGGTGCTGCCACTGCGGGTGCCGACGGCCGGCGCTGCGGGCCGACGAGCACCTGGGCAGAGCTCTCGTGCCGGAGGGGACGCACTCGGGGCCCCTTGAGGGGCAGTGGTGCGGCACGCGGCACAGGCCGACCCCACGGTGTTTCCGGACCCGAGCAGTAGCTCCAGGCCCTGGGCAGCCACGCTGCTGGCTCAGGACGCCTCGGGGACATGGCGGGAGGCAGGAGGGACCGTCCTCCAGCGCCCCTCTCCCAGGCCGCCCTGGAAGCTCGGCTGACGGAACTGCTGGTCACTTCACATAGTTCTCTGCAGAACGTCGCTCCGCTAATGCTCTCTCTACCTTTGTTTCTCTGCAGTAAATGAAATAATACGAAACGACCTCTCCAGCACCAACGTCCACTCGTAGCTGGCGGCGGCGGAACTCACGCAGACGCTGCACGGTGGCGACTCGACGGGTGACAGCGGAGGTTCGGCATTCAGACTTCTGACTAAAAACTGAGCACACGCCTGGTAGCGCTCAGAACTTCCAGCTGACCGAAGCCACACCACCGTGCAAAGTCGCGCTTTGACAAGAAGGAAGGAAAGGAGGAAGGACCAGTCCATCTGCTCAAGGAAAGGTCATCTCAAGAAGAACATAAGCGGATGGGGTGGGGTGAGTGCAGCAGACAGACCTTGCGACAGCACCCGATGGGAATGACCCCATGTGGCGGCCTGGCCCCCCGCGCCCTCAGGCACCCCTGGATTTCGGAAGTGCCTTATTTAACCCAAAGACAGCATCAGGGCATCGTAGAATTAAGCATTTAATTTGCTACCAGGAGAGTATTTGTAGGAGCGAAGCTATAAAAGCTTTTCATCATGCGGCTTCATCCTTTGTGTAAATTAAGAGAATACCGGCGAGCTAGGCATTGTGAGAAAAATGAACACACGTTTCCTACTTTTTTCAACTTTTCCTGGGCTGTACTATACAATTTTGTTGCCTTATTCAGCGCATTTTAGAAATCTTCCAATGTGTCATCTCAGCTCTTCCTGACCCCCTCTCCCCTGTTACTGAAACCATGGGCTTGTTCGTCATAGCATGCTAGGATTTCGATCTTAATCTGGCTTCAAACATAGCACGAGTAGCCGAATAGCACAGGACAAGGTCACGGGACAAGAAAAGCAGTCTGCCCATGGCGGGACGGGCCCGCGTCTGCACGCGTGTGCGTATATGGGCCCGGATTTATGTGTAAATAACAAGTAACAGGCGGTGACGTTCGCTCTTTGCCCAGCAAGGGCTTCCACGCCAGCAGGAACCAGTGTCCGTTCGGCGGGGCCGCCTCTAAGACTCCAAACCCGGCTCTTCAGCTCCTTCCCCCGGCGGGCCGTGCAGGCGAGCGAGCTCCGCAGACGCCAGGGAGGCTCGGAACACCCTGCGTTACCAGATGGCGCAGCCGAAGGGCACCGTACATAACTTTACAAAGGGAGTGTAATATATTTGTTCAGCTATAAGATTATGATGTCACAGAAGCCTTATAACTCTGCTTCATCTAAGAAACCGATTACCAAAAACGTTTTAATAGGCAGCGACTGTGTAGGTTTCAGATTAGTTACTGTTAACGGATAGGTTAGTGAGAGCTTTACTACTGCATTTGTACAAGTACAGCTTATTACACATTATTACTAGCAATGACCTATTGTTTCATGTAACCAAAAAAGCATGGTTTAATTAAAACATGTTTAACCTGATAATTGTGCCTTAGGAAGTCATGCCCCCTGATGGATCTTGCATGAACTGCACCCGTGGGTGCTGGTTGCAAGTTAGAAGTCATTAATGGTAAAGTGATGGTGGGGAAAGCTGTCCCACAGAATTATTTCAAAAATGTTTTTCTGGATGATTACGTCTTACTTTTTTTAACTCACAGAAAGAAACAAGTCTGAAAGCCATATTCGTGACATTTGCACTAACTGTGAAGAACTAAAGACGTATATGGCTACGTGAACATAGGAGCCTGCTGCTCGCAGGCGTCGCTCCCGCCTGCGACCCCAGGACCTGCCCCACATTTAGCATCATAGAGTTGCATGAAACGTCCTTAGTCAATGTCATATGGAAAAGAAGCGTTTGATATTTGTGTCTGCTATCTTTGTAGTTAGGAAATAGAGCCAATAAAGCACCGTGTTTTGCTGGACGGCCCGGGTCTCGGAGTGATTCATTCCGTGTACGGAAAGTCTTTGTCGCTGGGCGTGTTTTCTGCTGCAGGGTCTTGCGCCTCTGTGCGAAGCGGCCGTTGGGCTGGAAGGCGCGTCTCGCCAGTACGGCCCTTTTCTCGTTAAGAAGAAGCTGGTGGAGGACGGCGGAGGCCCCGAGGCTGTAAGCACAGCACTCGGGAAGCGTTCGCCCGGGCAGCGTGGGAGAGGGAACTTCTGCCAAACACTCCTGCTCCGAGGAGCGCCCTGGGCGAGGCTTCGGCCACACACACACTCGCAGTCTGACCGTGGACTCGGCGCGATGACGTGCAGAGAACGCATCTCCCGCTCTCTCCCATCGCTGTCTGCCTGCTCCTCAAAGCTGCTCTCCCCTCCCCCACCCCAACCTTCCGCCTCGGCGCGGGTGGGAAAATATGATCCAGGAGTCCGTAAGGCCAGTGTGAAACCCGGAAAGGCGCCAGGAATGGTCATTCTGAATTGTCAGAAACAGCATTTTCTTTTAGGACTTCTGAAGTGCAAGCATTCCTGTTTCCTTTGCCGAGAGGTTTACACACCGCTCGGGTGCTGGGGAGACCCTGACCCCCACCGCCAGCAAGCACCCGCCACGCTGGCTTCCCGCGCAGCTTCTGAAGGAAGCCCGGCACGAGGCTCGAGGGGCTCCACGGGGCGTGTGGAGATGTGGGGGTGGGGCGGGTGTCGGTGGCGGTTGTGTAAGGAAAAGGACAGGAAGTGGCCTCCGGCCCTAAGACACAGCAATGTCCCCAGTTGGGGCCTGTCACAGACTTGGGATGCTGGGCCCCAAATGGTACCCAAGGGACCCCCAAAACAGAGGGGGATGGAGCCCCTGCCCCCCACCCCCGAGAGCAGGCTGCTGGGCTAGGAGAACAAGGCTGTCACTGAAGAACACACTGAATTTTTTATAAACCCATTTTGCCCCATTCCCAACAATATACTTTTAAATTCCAGAAATAAAATATAAATCCGTAAAATGACACGTGGTTTCTGCAAAAAGGGTTGGGCTCCTGTGCAGGGCCCTGTTTACTCCATTTCTGTTTCTTCCAGGTTGACCTCGAGCGATAAAGAGCTACACACCCGCGACCTGTTTCCAGCGAGGGGCCAACGCGTTTGGCCCTCACGTACGTAGACTAGAACTCGCTGCACTTTTCTGGGAAGCCGAGAAGGACGTCAGCGTAAGCAAGGCTGGCTGACCCCTGAGGGCTGGCGTCCCTGGCCCCTGGTGGCCTGCGTCCTCAGCGAGCGAGACCGTGCGGGAGCCTGGAGGACAGGTGCCAGCACAGACGGTGCGGGAGCGGCGTGCGCAGCTGGGACTGTGCTGCTGAGCCCGCTCCCCCTGCGCGCCCTCGCTGCCCGCGACTCCAGCTCTCCATGAGTCTGAAACGGTGGGGTGTGAAAAAAATTCTGACGAACATCAAATTTCTCCTTGTAGCCAAGTGCAGCCTAAGAAAAGGTCCGAGCATCTGCGCATCCCTGTCCGTCTCCAGGTAGCTCCTCGTCGGCGCTGTCGACGTCCCCGCCTGCGGACAACGTTCCGGAGCCCCCACGGCCTGCTTCGGGGAGGGGCCCCGCGGTAACCAGCTGCCTCTGCGAATTCTGTCACGTTCCCTCGCGTGTCCCAACCAACGATGTCGCGAGCAGGGGGCCCGTGCACCTCTGAGCCGGTGCTGCTTTAGACTGTGCTCCGTGCTGGGCTGGTGCATTTGGGGAAGAGACCCTTCAGAAAGGAAGACGGGACTGGCCGAAGCCAAGTCAGAAGCCTCTGCACACGAGGAGCCCTCGCTCAGCTGTTTAAAAATTGAGATAAAATTCACATAAGCTGAAATTAACCATGTTAAAGTGGATGGTTCAGTGCCATTCAGCACATGCACCGCGCTGTGACTGCCACCTCCAGCCAGCTCGAAGAACATTTCACCCCCCGCCGAAGGAAGCACTGTGCCATGAGCAGCCCCCCGCGCCCCTGCCCCAGCCCCTGGGGGCCTCGGTCGCGTCTCTGTGGAGGAGTCTGTCCTGCGTATCTTGCACACACGGACTCATGCAGCACGTGGCCTTCGCAACTGGCTCGTTGCACTCAGCATCACGGTTTCAAGGGTCAGCCACGTCATAGCGGTCACCGGAGCTTCAGCCCTCCTGTGGCCAGATGCCTTCCCGTCGTCCACTCGCCCGTCCACGGACACCTGGCTGTGTCCACGTTTGGCTGCGGTGAGCACGCGCGTGCCAGCCTTTGAGCGAGGCCATGCTGCACTCCCGGGGAGCGGGGCTAGCAACGCGGTGACTGCGTTGACGTCTTGAAGGACTGTTTTCCCTGCTCGGTCTTTAAATTATCCATCGCTAAGACAGACGCTGGGCCACTAACCTAATTTGGAACCGCATATGTGAAGCGCATCATATTTATAATTCTTTATGCCAAAAGAATTAAGTTAGCTATCAGATGACTAAATGGTCGTTTGCGCTCAAGCAGAAGGCAGACCTCGCTCGCGCCCCCCGCCCCCCGCTCTTGCTGGAGCCCACCCGGGCCTCGGCTCACGGGCTCCGACTTGTTCAGATGGTGCCAGCACAGGCCAGTTACACACTTCTGCTTCACTTTGCACAAGCAAATCAAAGTTGCGGAGGGTAGACCTCTGGAGCTGAGACCAGGCGCTCGGTGACGCGTGTGCTCGGTGACGGCGCTGCTGCAGGCTTTGCCCGTCTCCCTGCTGACGGCAGAACTCGGCATCTGGCCGTTGTCCCAACAAAGCCGCAAAGCCACCCTGCAGAATCTTCAGACGGCCGCCGTTTTTCGCTGCCTGTGACCTGTCTGTGACCAGCGGGTCCCTCGCTGTGAGCTCCTTCCTCAGAGTGGCCTGGAGCAAGGCCACAGCTCCTGGAACCAGTGGGGTCGTCAGGGCGCTTCTGTCCCCCACCCCTCACCCGCTACCGCCCTTTTCCAAAGAGGAGGGAAGACATCAGTGAGATGACCGGAGAAAGGTCGCGTCACGTCTGGGAGCAGGGGACGGGCGGTCTGCGGGCCGTCCTCAGTCGCTTGCAGGTGACTGCTGCAGCCTGACGCGGTGGGCGAGGCTGTCTCCATGTCCTTGTGACCCACTGCTCTTCCTTCCGAGAGCCGGCCTGTCCACGCCTCCTCTGGACGAAGCGCAGTTCGGCCTCCAGATCTGCTCCTCGAGGCCCGCGGGCTCGGACACCCTGGGTGTGGGACAGGCCCTGGGGTCCCCTCTCAGGAGCGCTGCGAAGCCCCCAGTTCCACCACTGGAGATTCGTTTCCGTGGTGTGGGACCAGCCACCACTGGGCAGCGGTGCCCTTGGCTGGGGCCACAGCAGCAGCGAGGACCTGAGCTCGGGGCCATCTGCCCTGTGCTGAGGGACGGTCCATGACCTCCTGAGAGCCGCCTCCCGGGAAGACCGCGGGTCCCCAGGCTCTGAGGAGGAAGGTGCAGGGCTGCCTTGAAAACCTGTGCCACCAGCAAAACCACATCCCCACAGCTCCCGGAGCCACCGAAATGGCCGGTGCGGACGGAGGGCAGCCCCCTGGGAGCCCTGGGCTTGGCCCCGCCCCCCGCGGAGCGGATTTAAATGAGAAAACATCGTAAGCATGTCATGCCGCCCCTCCCCGTGTGGCTGGTCCCCAGTGTCCCCATCCCCAGCCTGGGTCGGCGCTCTGTGCAGGTCGAGGGTCCGTCTGGCGCCCCCTGCTGCACGGCTTCCAAATCAGCCCTTGCCCTGGGCCCGGGGCTGGCAACTTACGTCAGCTTTCGTATGTCTGAAAAAGCCTTTATTTTTTAAACTTTTTATGTTAAAATAATTGTAGATTCATAAGAAGTTGTAAGAAAATGTACAGGCAGGTCCTCCTGAACCATCCCCACCCCCCCAAACAGGAAATGAACACCGGCACAATTCATCGACGTGGCTCGGTTTCCGAGCTGTACATGCACACGTCTGTGCGTGTGCACACGAGTGTGTGTGTGCACACGTGTGTGTGTGCTTGCAGTTCTGGGCAGTTGCCTCAGGGGAGGTTCATGGAACCACCACCAAAATCAGAGACAGAACTGTCCGTCGTGGGGTCTCCCCATGCTGCCGCAGAGACGCCCACGCCCCTGCCGCCCCCGCGTGTGACCCCGCAGCCACGAGCCGCTCTGCATAACCGCGGCTGTCACTCCTCATGGAGTGGGCCACACAGCGGGTCGCCTCTGAGACTGGCTTCTTCCTGAGTGTCACTGGTCGTGTGCTCGGCCGCGTGCTCTGTGCTAATGCTCAGCAGTGCCCGGCAGCGGCGTGGACCACGGTCTGCCCATCCGGCCCCCACCAGGGACTCCTGGGGGCCTCCAGCTTTTGGCCACTGGGAACAAAGTTGCCATGAACATTGGGGAACGTAGGTTTTCATTGAGTTTTGGTGAACGCACGTTTCCATTTGTCTGGGGAAAAGGCCCGAGAAGGCACCGCTGGTCATGTGGTGAATGAATGAATGTTTTGTTTTCTAAGATAGCCAACTGTTGTCCATTTTCCGTTTCTGCTAATAGCGTGTGAGTACTTGTCCTTTATTCCAGCGTCCTGCCAGGTGTGCAGTGACATTTCACCGTGGCTCCGCTCACGTCCCCCGACGGCCGGCGCTGCCGAAGAGGCTCCGCGTTCCTCTGCCGCCCGGGGACCTGTGGTGCGATGTCTCCTGCTGCCTTTTGCCCGCTTGCTGACGATTGTTTCCTCTTGCCTGGTTATTTTACTGTCGGGTGTCAAGAGTTCTGTGTATAACCCTGAAGTCCTCTGTCAAGTGTGTGCTTTGCAAATTCTCCTCTGTCTGTAGCGCTTCAGCCTCTTAAGAGGACTTGCAAGAAAGAACCTGACGAGGCCCACGTCGATTTCTCCATCCAGGGGTCGTGCTCTGGGGTCAGCCTAAGGCCAGTTCACGCAGCCCTGGTCCTCGAGAGCTCCTCCTATGGACGTCCCTAAATATTTTACAGGTTTGTGTCTTACA